GGCCGTGGTGCCACCGAACGGGGGGAAAAAACTCGGTACCGGAGCCTAAAGGTGCGGGGAGAGGGTGGGAGAGGAGCACGGCAGAGGATGCGGGACGAGCAGCGATCGATGGTTGCAAAAGGCTGGGGGGGCAAAACGTCCATAAATGGGTTAAAAAAGGATGGGGAGATGGGATCGTTGAGTGGTAGAGGATGGGGGATAATCATCAGTAAATTTATGCGAAAGGATGAGGAGATGGGATCGCTGAGTGGCAGAGGATGAGGGGAAGTCCTCCATAAATGGGTGCAAAAGGTTGAGGAGATGGGGGGAAATCCTAAATAAATGGACCTAAAAGGATGCGGTGATTGGATCATCGAGTGGCAGAGGATGTGGGGAAAATCCTCAATAAACGGACCTAAAAGGATGCGGTGATTTGATCATCGAGGGGCAGAGGATGTGGGGAAAATCCTCAATAAATGGACCTAAAGTGTTCTGGGGGTGGGGGGAAAAAAATCTCAATAAACAGACCCAAAAAGATGCACTGATGGGATCATGAAGTGATGGAGGACTGGGGAGGGGGGGAATTCTCAGTGCAAAAAGTTGGGAAGATGGGGGGAAATCCTCAATGAATGGCTGAAAAGGATGAGGAGATGAGATCACTGAGTGGCAGAGGATGGGGGAAAAAATCCCCATAAATGGATCCAAAGGATGCAGTGGGAGGAGAGGCGAGTGGGAGCGTGGGGTGGGTACCAGCTCCGAGGGGGAAGAGGCCGGATCCCTGTATGGAAAACCTGTCCCGAATGGCTGAGCCCTTTCCAGCTGCAACCTGCAGGACATCTGGGCACATCTGGGCATCCCAGAGGGGTCACACTCAATGCCCATCCCAGAAACCCCACGGGAGAACGAGCATCGCTGCTCCCGGCGTGTGACAGCCGCGCTGGGGACACCGGGTGACACCGGGACTCTCCGTGCCTGGCGTCCCCCAGCCCTCGCTGCCCTGAGGACAAGAATTGCCGCTCAATTTCCGTCTCCCTTTCCCCTTCCCAGCCCCGCCGTGATTTACCTCTCCCCAGAGGAGCCCAAAAGCTGTAAACACACTTTTATTTGTCACTCGCGTCCCCGCAGCCGCGCGGCTGTTGGGAAGGTAATAAATGATTCCGGTCCTCTTGGCTTGATGATGTCGGGATTAGGAGCCCTACATATTTTATGGAAACCTCTACATGATCTTCCTTGATAAATCATTTAAATAGGAGTGTCTTTTCTTGGTGTGGGATATAAAATATTTACTGGAGCGGGTGAAGGCTGTTCATCCGTGTTTACCCTCCCGCTTCCCAGCCCGGCTCTGGTGACAAACAGCTCAGCCCTTCATCGCCTCAATGGCACCTCGGCTGTGACATGGGGACAGGCTCCTTGGGCTTGAAAGCTGGGAATTTTGGGGATTTATGTGTTCCCCCGGGTGCGTTTTTGCTGCAAAAAGAAGTGATTTTGGTGCAGCATCAGAGCATCCTCCCCGTAGCGCCCACCAGCCCCATGCCAGCGCTGGTTGCCGTGCCATGACCGGCTCCAGCTGGCAAAACCAGGATTGCCGCAAGGATAGGAGCTCGCCGAGGGGAATTTTTTGCAACCAACACATCCCTTCAGCTGAATTTTGTTGCAAGAAGAAGTGATTTTGGTCCAGCAGCCCACGGCGTGCTCCCTGCAGCACCCACCAGCCCCCTGCCAGGGAATGTTTTCCACCAGCTCCAAAGCGCAAACTCGGGGTTCTCCAGCACCTCCCGCACCCCCGGGACTGAATCCCCCCATCCCTGCCCACCTCATCCCCACCTCCAACCCCGGCAGCCTCCGCAGCGTCCTGCTCCCTTCTCCCATTAGCATTCATGGCAATTCTTTTCATTTGTTACCTGGCAGGGGAATGAAAACACCTCGTTCCCCGCAGCGGGGGGTTTCCTACGGCGAGCCCCAACTTTTCAATCATTCCTCGGCAGCGCCGTGGCCCCCCCGGGCAGGAGCCGCCGCTATTAAAAGGCTCACCCAGGGGCATGTATTTTCCATAAGACGCCGTGTACATGCTGTGCAACATTCAGGAGGATCATGCTGGAGCAATCGGTCCGGATATAATGCCGGTTACCTTGCGGGAGAGGAGCTCCGAGGGGGATGGATGCTCTCGCTCCGTGCCTGGGGGAGAAATCGCTCCCCGGCAAAGCTCGGGGGCTGAGATGAGGATGCTCAGCGCCAAACTGGGCTCGGAACGGGGGAAAAAGCGCAGGGAAGGTGGCCTGGGGTGGGTGAGATGCGGTGACCTCCCGAGGTGCTCTCACCCATCGCGGCCATGGGATACCGGGAAGAAATCCTTCCCTGAGAAGGTGGCGAGGCCCTGGAATGGGTTTCCCAAAGAACTGCGGCTGCAGCGCCCCTGGAAGTGTCCCAGGCCAGGCTGGACGGGGCTTGGAGCAGCCTGGGACAGTGGAAGTTGTTCCTGCCACGGCAGGGGTGGGATGAGATGGGCTTTAATGCCCCTTCCCACCCAACCCATCCTGGGATTTGCTGATTCAACGATTCCTAGGAATCATCGGCGGCTGCAGCAGCCCACTCCCACCCCTCCGCCACCTCCCGCCGCTCCCCGCGCCCCCTCCTCTCCCCGGAGTGGGGGAATTAACAGCTGAACAAACCCCAAATATCCAGCGGCCTGAAAAGTTCCATTTGCTGCCGGCTGGGAGCCGCCCTTGTCTCCTCGCCTCCCTCTCTCCTCTTTCCATAAATCATCCCCCGCGCCCGCCGGGGTTCTCCAGGTGCTCCGCAGCTGGCAGCGTGTGACAGGAGCGCTCCTGCTCGGAGCGCTTGTGGCTATCGGGAGATAAGGACGGGGGAGAGGGAGGGATGGCCGGGCAGGAGGGGAGGGGGCGGCGGGGACAGACGGAGGGAATCCCGCATCCCCCTGCGAGCTGGGCAGGGGCAGGAGGGACATCCCGCATCTTCTGCGAGCTGGGCAGGGGGGACATCCTGCATCCCTGTGAGCTGGGCAGGGGGGACATCCCGAATCCCTGTGAGCTGGGCAGGGGGGACATCCCGCATCCCTGCTAGATGGGCAGAGGGGACATCCCGCATCCCGAGCTGGGCAGGGGGGACATCCCGCATCCCGAGCTGGGCAGGAGGGACATCCCGCACCCCCTGCAAGATGGGCAGGGGCAGGAGGGAATCCCGCACCCCCTGCGAGCTGGGCCGGGGCCGGAGCCGCCGCTGGAGCTGCTGGAGGGATGTTCCGGGGCCCGGGAGGTGCCGGTGAGCCCGCGGTGAGCACACGGTGCTGCGGGTGTCGTGGCATCCTGCGCGGGATGGGACAGGGGGGCGCAGGGATGAGCCCCCAGCCCTGCTGCAGCGCTCGGAGGGGGCTGGTGGCCACTGTGCCAGCCTCGGTGGCCTCTGTGCCAGCCTCAGTGGCCACTGTGCCAATCTCAGCGGCCGCTGTGCCGCTCCCATCCAGGAGCTGAGCCCTGCAGTGCCCACCAGCCCAACCCAGGGTGGCGAGGGGACAGCCTGGCCACCGGGGATTCATTTCAATGGAGCAAACTGAAGCTGGGTGTTGGAGAAAAAATTTATTTTCATCCCAGGGTGTTCCCAACTCCCTGCCCTGCCTCCAGCAGCCCCGGGGAGGGTTCGGCCTCCTGGTGGTCCTTCCCGTGGCACACAGTGGCCGTGGTTGCCCTGAGCCACAGTGGTTTCCTTGCTGGAATGGGCAACTCCGGGGCACAAGGGAGGAAAATGCCTCTGGAAAGCCCAGCAGGGATCGGTGAACATCCATCCCTGCCTGGCTGTGGGCAGGGAGGGGGCTGGGGACCATCCTGAGCCTCCTCACGGTGCAAACCCGGACCACAACAGCGGGGAAGCTGCACCCCCCGGGCTCCCCACAGCTGGAATGCTGCAGCAGGTGGGATAATTCCACGAGCCAGCGGAGCATGGAGCACCCACTACCTCCAAGGGATTAAATGAGAAAAAAAACCCAATTAATGCTGCAATGCTGAAAGGGAGCAAGGAGCAGCAGGAAGGGAGAGCTCGGAAGGCGCACTCTGGGATCACCACGGGGGTTTGGGATCCCGGGGGTACTGGAGCCCAAAGGTGGGGGGCAGGACAGCACCTCCCAGCCTGACCCCACGGAATCAGCCCCGGTACCACTCGGAATGACCCAGCTCCACTCACATCCTGCTGTTGCTGCCATGGGGATCCCGACAGGACCCGGCACAGGGAGCACCGAGGCCCAGCCCAGCTCTCCATCACCACCACTCCTCACATCAAACCCCGATGCCTCTGCAGAACAGACCGGCTCTAAACGATCCCATTCAGGCCCTAAAGCCCCACGACTCCATTCATTAATTACTAACGATGATCCGTCTCAGCCTCGCCTGCCCGTTCGCTATTTTTACCTCCCTATTTCCAACTCCCAGCGGTAAAAAAATCATGAGCTGGGTCTCAGAAAACCTCCTGAGCCGGTCTAAAAATCCCCTTTTTGGTCAATCCCTGCCAAGCTCTTTGGCTGGTGGTTCCCTCTGACGGAGGAGCTGGAGGTGGCACCCACGTCCCTGGGGGCGGGTGGCACCACTCCCGCTCCTGGCACACATATGGTCCTTATTAAACAGCAAAATTAGTCTTTCACCCTCTGGTGGCAAAACCTCAGAGCTCGGATCAGCTGTGGGAGCCTCAATTAATTACCAGCGGGTTGTTCCTATTGCTGCTAATTATGCCGGAATAGGCGCAGAATGCCAGGAAGGAGCACGGGCCGCTCCAAAAAAGTTCAGAATTTAAGAAAAGAAAGAGCAGAGGCAGAGGATGCTCGTGATGCCACCTCAGAGAAGCCTGTCCTGGCTTTAGTGGCCTGCCAGGATGTCACCTGTTGGTGTCACATCCCTGGGGAAACTGAGGCAGGGGCAGGTGAGGAGCTGGGGCTGCGGGAACTGCCAGCCCCGAGCGCCCACCCGCCAGGCAGCCTCGCCTCCTATAATTAAGCACTATCAACAATTGCACATTAATTAATTTAATATCCATTATTATTAATTAACAGGGTAATTAAGTCCTTCCCGTAATTAACACACCGCCCAGCAGAGAGGTCTGGCTGCAGAGCCCTGCTGTACAAGGGGAAGGGGCTGCACAGGGAGCAAGGACGGAGCCCCCAGACCCTCCGTGTCCCCCTGGGGACACAACCCTGGCCACCCCCCCGAGGGGACACGGAGCCGCACGGAGAGGGAGAAGTGATTCCTCCAAGCAAGGGCCTCACACGACATTTATTTGTATTTTATTATAAAAAAATACAGAATCCAAATGGGGGGGTGGGCAGTGGGGAGGGGGTGAGAGATCCGGTTACCATCAGCACGACGTCGAGGACGAAAGCGGAATGTCGAAGGACGGAGCGAAGGACGGGACCAGCACGGGGGGGACACGGCACCGGGGCAGGGGGGGCTGCTCCAGGGGACCCCCAGCCGGCCCCACGGCCGCCTCCGTCCTTCCACTCTCCCACAGTCGCTGTACACAATATAGATATTTATATATATAATCTATATATATATAAAACACAGACCGAAGGCCAGGCGGGTGCTGCCGGCTCCGCGTCAGAGCCCGGCGGGTGCCCCCCGCATCCCCCCCATAAACACATTTTGTCACCTTCGGGAACCACGACCTGGTCTGGACACACGGGACAGGGACAGGGAAGGCAGGGAATGCGATTTTTTTTTTTTTAATTATGTGTTTGTTTCTTTTTTTTTTGTTGTTTTTTTGGGGTTTTTTGGTGTTTTTTTTAATAATTTTCTTTTTTTTTGTAAATTTTTTTTCTATTTTTTTTTGTTGTTTTTTTTTTTTTGGATGGTCAGGATGAGCTTATTGCAAGATTCCAGCTTCCTAGTCTAAAAAATAAAAATAAAATAAAAATAAGATAAACCCTTCCATAAAATCCATTCTCAACAATACATAAAAAAAAAACGCTCACAGTATAGCGCTGTATGTACAGGGACAGAGCCCCCCCGGCCCCCACGACGGGAAAAGCCGGGATCCACTCGGAATGGGGGGGCTCCAGCCAGGTCTGAGCCCACCTCTGGCATCTCCCGGGACCACCGACCATCCCTGGATTGTGGGACGGGCACAGGGACTCCCCAAGGTGGGACAGCCCCAGATTTAAGGCGAGGAGGGGTCAGACCCCGGGGCTGCGGGGTGACCCCTCCCTGGGGATCTGCCACCCCCGGGGTCACGGCCAACCTCGGATTGGGGGTTCGGAGGAGGGGTGGGGGGGTGGAGTTCACTTATTAATGCAAAGGAAAAGGGAAAAATCCCCAAGCCCAGCCCTGGAATGTCGGGGGGCAATGGGGGAGCCCCAGGAAGGTCCCAGATGTGGTCGCCACCCCCCAGTGGGGACTCCTGCACCCCCAACCAAGGCACTGGGGGCACGGGGCAGGGTGGAGGAGGAAAACCCACAGCACGCGCTCCTCCCGGTGCCAAACGGCCTCGGAGCGATGCCCACGGCTGGGCGAGCCCGGCCTGCCGGCTCCCAGCGCCCGGCGTGCTCCCCGTGCCAGCCGGCCCTTCCCGGCCGTGCCAGCACCGGCCCTGGGCAGTGCCAGCCCTTCCCGGTGCTCCCGGTGCTCCCTGTGCCAGCCGACCCTTCCCGGCCGTGCCAGCGCCGGCCCTGGGCAGTGCCAGCCCTTCCCGGTGCTCCCGGTGCTCCCGGTGCTCCCGGTACCGGCCATCCCAGTGTCCCCAGCCCAGCTGCTCCAGTCTGCTCACAGAGCCACCCCGGTGTCCCACGGGGACGGCGGTGACACCAGCGGAGGGGACAGGGTGAACCCCCGGTGCTCAGAGGGGGCTGTGTCCATCCAGGCCCCCCGTGCCTGGGGCAGGGGGTGGCCGGGGCTGGCGGGTCCGGCTCCGTGACGTCCTGCGGCCGGGCTGGCAAGGAGTCCTTGCCCGCGGGGCCGGTGGCACCATCGCTGTGCCCGGTGGCACTATCGCTGTGTCTGGTGGTCCCGGTGACACCATCGCTGTGCCCGGTGGTCCCAATGACACCATCGCTGTGTCCGGTGACACCATTGCTGTGACCGGTGGTCCCGGTGACATCATCGCTGCGTCTGGTGGTCCTGGTGACACCATCGCTGTGCCCAGTGGCACCATTGCTGTACCCAGTGGTCCCGGTGATACCATCACTGTGCCCGGTGGTCCCGGTGACACCGTCACTGTGCCCGGTGGCACCATCACTGTGTCTGGTGGCACCATCGCTGTACCCGGTGGTCCTGCTGGCACAGTCGCTGTGTCTGGTGGCACCATTGCTGTGTCTGGTGGTCCTGCTGGCACCATCACTGTGTCTGGTGGTCCCGGTGACACCATTGCCTTGCCTGGTGGCACCATCACTGTACCCGGTGGTCCCGGTGACACCATCACTGTACCCGGTGGTCCCGGTGACACCATCACTGTACCCGGTGGTCCCGGTGACACCATCACTGTGCCCGGTGGTCCTGGTGACACCATCACTGTGCCCAGTGGCACCATCACTGTGCCCGGTGGTCCCGGTGGCTGTACCCACGGTGGGGTCAATGAGGGCTCAGCTGGCACTTCAGCCCGGCCCGTGCAGGTCAGTCTGACACCAGGGGGACCCGACAGGAACAACTCAGCAAATAAAAATAAAAATTAAAAATATTTTTTTTCTTTAAAAAAAAAAGCAAACAAAACCAAACAACAAAAAAAACCCAAACAAACGAAGGAAAAAACCCCAAAATGACGAGGACTCTGTATTTGGTCTAGAAATGTAAAAAGCAACGCCCCACCGGGACAGCTGGAGCTGCAGGGCAGGGATGGAGGTCGGGACCCATCCCGGACTTGGGGATCCTCGCTGGCAGCACCGACCCTCTCTGGCACCATGCGGGCGGTTCGGGGCGGGCAGAGTCCGTCCCTGGGCGCTCCGGTGCCCGTGCTAGGAGAGCAGCAGCGTCCAGGCCAGCGGCACCACCGCCAGCGCCGCCGGCGGCACCCTGAGGCTGCAGCAGGAGTTGTTGCTGGTGAAAATGGGCTCCGGGGACTCGTAGAGGGAATCGTCTGTGGGAAAGGATGGAAGAGAAGGAGGGTGAGCCGTGGGATGGCGGCGATCCGTGCCGGATCCGGAGGCGCGGCGATGCCCGGCACGCTGGGGTTGGGATCTGGTGGCGTTCCTGTGTCCCCTCCCCACATCCCAGCTCCCCAAAAGCACAGCTGCCACCCCTGGGGATGTGACACGGGGACATCCCAGTGTGGCTGCGAGGGTGGGAATGCCGAGGGGCTCCCCAGGGTGCTCCGGTTCCTGCCCTTTCACCGGGATTTTCGTGTGCCAGGGGCAGGTGGCATCGTCCCGGGGGTTTAGGGGATGGACCCGCTCGGGGCAGGGCCACCCCTGGCTCACAGCCTGGGGGGCACACAGCAGCTCCCCAGCTCAGCTCGCTCCAGTTTGCCACTGGATTATGGATTTTTATGGACCTGGGGGCAGGAAAAGCAGAGTCTGGTCCTGCCTGGGGATGCTCCAACGCTCTGCACGCCTGATCCCCCTGTGCCCCCCAATTCCAGAGGGGCCCTCGTGCCGGGATGGAGTTTCCAGACTCATTCCAGGGCCAGACCCATCAAGGGGTGCCCCCTCAGGACCTCCCCCCATCCCCCGGGCCCAGCCCCTCTCCCCTTCCCTCCTCTTCCACTCTGCAAGACAGAACGAAATCCCAATATTATTAAAATACTAAAAAATAATATCGGGAGAGATTTTTTTCCCTCACCCTCATCCTGAATAGAACATGATGAGTTTTTACAGATGGTTCTGTTAGGTTGGGTTTTATTTTAAAGCCACCAAAGGAAGGGAGGCGAGAGCCATCGGTTACCCGGTGACATTCCGCTGTCCCCGGGGAGAGCCGCTGCCATTTGCTAATTACACGTTAACAGGAGAAGAAAATTATTAATTTGTTTTTTTAAATGGCTGATTTATGCAAGCTGGAAAAGTAGCCACTGAGCAGGGAGGATTATTGTTATTAATTATTTTTTTTCGCTACGTCTGTGTCTGGACAGTGCTGAGATGGCTCCAACAGAGCTGAGGGGCCCTGTCCCCATCCCTGTCATCATTGGGGGGGTACCTAAAAGCCACCACTCGTCCCCAACCCACGGGGCAGGACCTGGGGACCCCCCCAGGGACCCCCCAGACCTCTCACTTACTTGTTGGCCGAACATAAACCTTCAGCTTCAGGCAGGGTCTGTCCACCGTGTTCGGGGGGGACGCGGCTGCGGGAGGAAAAGGGGACAAAGGGTTGTGGGGACAGCGGCAAAACGAGGGTCAAGGCACTGAACAAAAATAATAACAAACACTGGGAGAAAAGGAGGAATCGCAGTAATTTTTGGGGTGATGTTTCCTCTTAGGATGAGAAAATAGGATTATTTTTTTTATATATATATATAAAGAGATTTAATTTTCTCTGCTTTTTTTTTTTTTTTTTAATTAAAGCAGGGGCTTTTTTTACCCTTCCCTTTTCTTTTCCATTTTGGCATCTCACCTCAGGGAGGGAAGGAAAAGGTGCTGAGCTGAGCAGGACCATGAGCACCCCAATTCCTCCATCCCAGCTCCTCCAGGAGAATTCCACCCTATCCTGCGGAATTCCATCCCACCCCATAGAATTCCACCCTATCCTGCGGAATTCCATCCCATCCTGCAGAATTCCATCCCATCCTGCAGAATTCCATCCCATCCTGCAGAATTCCATCCCATCATGCAGAATTCCATCCCACCCCATAGAATTCCACCCTATCCTGCAGAATTCCATCCCATCCTGCAGAATTCTACCCTATCCCCATAGAATTCCATCCCATCCTGCAGAATTCCATCCCGTCCTGCAGAATTCCATCCCATCCCGCAGAATTCCATCCCATCCCGCAGAATTCCATCCCAACCTGCAGAATTCCATCCCACCCCGCAGAATTCCACCCCATCCTGCAGAATTCCATCCCACCCCTCAGAATTCCATCCCATCCTGCAGAATTCCATCCCACCCCATAGAATTCCACCCTATCCTGCAGAATTCCATCCCATCCTGCAGAATTCTACCCTATCCCCATAGAATTCCATCCCATCCTGCAGAATTCCATCCCGTCCTGCAGAAGTCCATCCCATCCCGCAGAATTCCATCCCAACCTGCAGAATTCCATCCCAACCTGCAGAATTCCATCCCACCCCGCAGAATTCCACCCCATCCTGCAGAATTCCATCCCACCCCTCAGAATTCCATCCCATCCTGCAGAATTCCATCCCGTCCTACAGAATTCCATCCCACCCCGCAGAATTCCACCCCATCCTGCTGCATCCCAGCTCCATCCCGTGCCCTTGACCCGCTCCAGAGGCACGAGCGTGTCCCGGTGCCGGCGGGTTAATGGATTCCAATCCGTGGGCTCGAGGAGGAGGTAATTTCTTTTCTTTCATGTCTGCTAAATACGGTTCCTCAAAGAGGCATAATTTCTAATGTTCCGCATGACGGGAATTCTAACCGGGTTAGCAATGATCAGCTTCCCATTTACTCCTGTGTAATCTCTCCCTAACGACATTAAAAAATAAAAAAAAAATAAAATAAAATAAAAGCGTGGTGGGGGGGGTGGTTGTTGGAGGGGGGAAGAGAGACAGAGAGAGTTGTGGCCGCAGTTATTGCGCCGGTGACATTTTACGGGGGGGAAGAGAGAGGGGGGAAATGGTAATTTAATATAGATAAAAGGAACAAATTAAGTGGGCTGAAAACAGCTGCTTTAGGAAAAAGAGGAGGAATGATAAGGCGGAGGAGCGTGGCCGTGGCTCCGGAGAGGGCGGCGGGGTTGGGGCCGTGCTGCCTCGTTTGGGTTTGGGTTTTATCCCAGCATCTGCTCCCAGCATTGCTGGATTGTTTTTCCAGTGGGCTCCTCTCTCCCTCCTGTCCCTGCAGGCGCCCTGGAGCTGGAAATTCCCTGCCAGGAGCCCTCATCCTGCAGCCAGCAGCAGAGTCACCCCAGGACAGGCCAGGCAGTTCAGGTTTGGGTGAGAAAGGGAGCCCAGATTGAGGAGAGCACAGGGACACACGGGAGAGCACGGGAATTCCATGTGAGAACACGGGAATTCCATGGCAGAGCACTGGAATTACACACAGCAGAGCACGGAAATATATGTGAGAGGATGGAAATTACATGGGAGAGCACAAGAATTACGTGTGAGACCACGGGAATATTTTTGAGAGCGCAAGAATACTCAGGAGATTATGGGAACACTGCCTGGGGCTGGGGCCATTCCCAGCGCCATTCCCACTGGGATGAGACCAGTGCCTCTGGACAGTCCTGGTCATTGTCACACCCAGAGCTGTGACAACCCCAGTGAAAGGTTTCCATGGGATGCTTGCCCTGATGGAAGATTTCCATGGGATGTTTTCCTGAGCTGGACATGCTGCAGCTTTGGGGGAATTCTGCAGCAGGACAAGCCCAGGGACACTCCCACCCATCCCCATCCCCACTCACAGATGTAGTAGTACTCGTGGCCGGGTCGGAACTCGAAGCCCAGCGAGAAGGGGGTGAAGAGCTGGAACTTCTCGGAGAACTTGAGGGGCCCGTTGGGGGAGTCGGGGCGGTTGCACTCCCAGCGCTTGAAGCCGCGCTGCCGGTGGTCGCAGGACGCGTGGCCCTCGTAGTTGACCATGTAGAGGATGTACCTCTCCATCCGCTCGGGCAGCGGCTCCTCGTAGTGCGGGCAGTAGATGTCCAGGTAGTCGTTGATGCTCACCTCCACCGTGTAGTCCCCGCGGTGGAACCTGCAGAGATGTGGGGTCAGCGGGTCACAAACTCCTTCCCAACTCCCTCCCGGCACACAGAGGTTGGGTTGGAAGGGGCCTTAAAGCTCATCCAGCCCCCGTGGGTGGTTTGTTTCTGTGCCCTGCTTGGTGTCCTGGGCTGGGACTCTGCCAAGATGCTCTTTTTGGGACTCTTGTTTAGCAGGAACGAGCCAAGGAGAGCCATTCCTGGGAGATCAAGTGGTGCCTCAAGCTGATCCGTGACTGTCGGATACGAGTGGCTAAGGATGGGAACACAGGACCATGGAATCCCAAGATGGTGTGATGGGAAGGACCTTAAAGCCCACGCAGTCACCCCTGCCATGGGAAGGGACAGCTTCCACTGTCCCAGGCTGCTCCAAACCCCATCCAACCTGGCCTTGGGCACTTCCAGGGATGGGGCAGCCACAGCTGCTTTGGGCATCCTGTGCCAGGGCCTCACTTCTCCGTGATCCAAAGCCTGATCCAACCCCAACAGCCCCGTTAACCTCCAGACTAATCCAGATCCTCTTTGTTTCAGGCCAACAAACGGGCACCAGTTGGCAGGAAACCACACAAAAATGATTATTCCCGGCGGCGCCGGCATCGCCCAGCGCCACAATCCCGGTGTCACTGGTGTTCTTGGCACCAACGAGCCGAGAGATTAAGGGATTAGCAGCACTGGAGAACTCCGTGGCACATGCCAGCAGCCCCCCTCCAGCTCCTCAGGGTGGGTCCAGCGATCCCCTCCCCAAATTCCAGACCCCCAGCACCACAGCTGGCGGAGCTCAAGGCCAAATTCGCCGTTCCCCCCTGGCAGTTTGGCTTCCCCTCCTCACTGAGTGAAGGTTTTTCCTATCAATTTAAGGTTTCCCCCCCCAAAAGCTCAGCACTGCCAGGGGCAGTGGTCACCCCACAGCTCCAGGGCTTGGGGGGCTGGAGGGGTCAGCACAGCCCTGGTGGGCTGGGGCGGCGACCACAACCCCCTCAACCTCCCAAAGCAGAATTTTGGGGGTCCCAAACACCCCCTGAGGCTGTGGCAGCTGCTGAGATGGATTCAACTCCTCCAGAAACACCCCAAAAGTGCATCCCCATCCCTGCGGTGGGATGGCGGAGGAGAGTGACCCCCAAAAGGGGAGGGGGGGGAGAAGGGAGGCGGTGTGGGGAGGGGGGGTCCTGCAGCCCCCCTCCAGCTCATTACCTGCCTCATAAGCTCTCTGATCACACAGGGAACACGCTAATTAAGGAGCAGGGTTTCTCCCTCTCCTTCCCTCTCCTTTCCTGAGCCAGTTGTGCCAACCCTGCCCCTGGCAAGGTAACATTGGAAAATGTAAAATTAATACAAAGGGCTGGAATTTACTGGGAAACAATTTTCAAATGCGCCGAGAACAATAAAAAATATTTAAAGGAAAAAAAAAAACCAACAAAAAAACCTTCTTCTTGCTGCCTTTTATTTAAAAAAAATTATTTATTTTAATGATCGTTACTAAAGCCCAAGCAAAGGCGGGGGGGTCCCTGTATCAAGGGAATAATAGTAATAATAATTATTACATTTTTGGGGAAAAAACTCACTTTGAGGGCCTTTGCCTGCCTGACAAATTGCTGAATTAAAGCTGATTAAAGCTGATTAATGGCCCAGACAGAGATGGGGGGGGGGGCACAGGGAGGGGGCCACCCTCCTTTGGGGAGCTGTGGGGAGGAGTCACCCTCCTTTGGGATGATCTTATGGGATGATCCCATCACCAGGGATGACACCGTGGGATGAGGACAATTCCATCACCAGGGATGATGTCAGTGCCTCAGTTTCCCCTCTGAGCTGCAGCAGCATCCTCCCAAAATTCCCAAATTCGGGCAGCGACCCAGCACAGGAACAAAGCAGATTTGTCTCTACACCCTGTGAGACCAGCCAGTGTCCCAAGGGTTAAATAATTCAGATTTTTCTTTCCTGAACAGCTTGAAAAGAGATATGATTGCGCCCACTGGAATACGGGGAGGGGGGGGATATTATGGATGGAAAAGAGCTATTTAAGCTGAGAAACGGTGTTGGCACATAAACAAATGGGTATAAACCGGCCATGAATAAATTGAGGCTGGAAATTAGGAGGTTTGGAACAACTGGGGGCCGGTTGGGGCTCACAGGGGCAGCAGGGCGAGGGGGGAACTGGGACAGGGGGCCAGGTTTGGGGTCCCCCCCTCTCCAAGGGCACCCGTCCTTGCGGGGCCAGGCACTGAGAGATTTAAAATCTCCCTTCCGCTTTCATCTCCCGAAATCTCCTTCATTCAAATAGTCACAGCGTGATCAGGAGTAATAAGCCTATTACAGAGCAAAATAAAACACAGCAGCTCCCCCTCTGCCCCCCCAAACCAGCCCCCCCCAGCCCTCCTGCCCTCTTTGGGGCTATTAAACACAACCCGATGGAAATTCAGCTGCAGAGTGGCCAATGTCACCCCCCCAGCTCCCCCAGCCCTGCAAGGTGTCCCCCAGCCCGGGAGATGGGGACAAAGTGGCTCCCAGAGCTGGGGGGTGGCAGGGAAGGGACCCTGGGGTGCAGACACCCACCGACCCCTGCCTGCAGCTCCTTTCTGCATTAATCCCGTCGCTCGGCCGTGGCCAGCAATGGACTTCACACCGGGAGCATTTGAGCCGTTTTTCCATCTGCTTCTCCTTCTCCTTGGGCAGCCGGAATCGCTGCCGAGCCGTCATCCCTCGGGATGCCAAGGGCAGCGCTGGGCAGGAGCCGGATTTGGGGAGGATTTGGGGAACGGGCTGGTCCCGGTGCCCTGCAGGCTGGTCCCGGTGCCCTGCAGGCTGATCCTACTCCCCCTCAACAGGCAGGAGTCACCTGCGGAGCTGGGAGGGGATGGATTCGGAGCTGGATGCCCCTGGACACCTGTGCCCAACTAGTTTTGGTCCAGTGGGTTTGAACACCCCACACCCCATCCCGCTGCCCCATCCCACCACCTCACCAGTGCCAAGGTTGATTTTTACCGCGTTTCCAAATATTTTCCATGGCGGAGAACGAGCGTCGCCCGCACCGACACCTCCCAAACTCCCTCCAGGCTGTGCCGGAGGGTCCCAGCGCCCCAAGCCCTGGCGCTGGCAGGGATGAGGTGACATTCAGGAGATGCTCTGTCCCCATCCACCCCAACCCTTGGCAGGGTGGCAGTGACGAGTCCCAGTCCCCGGTGCCACGGTGGGACAGAGCGGGGACGGCGTCGTGGCTCACGGAGCGCCGGTAATGCGCTCCGGAGGGACCCCGCCGTACACACAGCACCTAAATTATTTAATTTCTCCAAACTGCTGCACCTTTATAAATCATTAAAAGCTCCTTTTGATCTGTGTTAATGAGGTTTCCTGAGTGTGGGGCTGGGAAATGCTTCGGCGCCAGAAAGCAACGCCGCTGATTAAAAAAATAAAGAGGGGGCGAGAGGGAGCGTGGGGGGCAGGGGATGGGGGCACGGGGAGGTGGGCACAGGGCAGGGGGCACAGGGGCTCCCCAGGGCCCAGCCAGGCAGTGGAGGGCCTTTAGGGATGCCTGTCATGTTTCTGTTCTTCCCCTTCCATTTCTCTTCCCCTCCCTTCCCTTTCTCTTTCAGTTTTCCTTCCCTTTTCAGTTTTCCTTCCCTTTTCAGTTTTCCTTCCCTCTTCTCTGTCCATCCCCTTTCCCTTTCTTTTCCTCTTTCCCGGAGCTTTCCAGCCAGGGAATCCAGGGAACACACTGGTCCCAGCTGTGCCCGTCCCTGGGAAATGCCGGTGCCAACCGAACCACGGGCAGGGTTGGGGCTCTTGGTCCTCCTGGTGCTCTGGGACACAATTCCCCTTTGGGGAGCAGCGGGATGGGGTGAAGCCCCCCGGGGGTGTCAGTGGGAGCCGTGGCGAGGGGAGGGTCCTGTTCCAGCAGTGCCACCGTCGCTGACCCCGTGGGTGACCCCGTGGGAGCGCGGCGGCGCCGGCCCTGACAGCTTTAATGCCGATATTTATCTCCACTCCAAACCTCCGAGCCCGGCTCCATATTCAGGGGATCCATCACCGGGATCGGGAATGAGGCGACGGCTCCGATGGCAGCTGGGGTTGGGATGAACGTCGGCTGAGAGCCCCGGAGCTGCTCCGGTCAGGGACAGGGGTGGGGACAACGGGGATAGACACAGGGACAGGGACAGGGTGGGACAGGGGTGGGGATGGGGACAATGGGGATAGACACAGGAACAGGGACAGGGATGGAGATAAGGCTGTGGATAGAGACAGAGATAAGGAGAGGGATGGGGACGGGGATGGGATGGGGACAGAGACAGTGATGGTGACAGGGATGGAGGAGGGCACAGGGATGGGGATGAGGACTGGGGTAACGAAAACAAATTCCATGCAGAGCCAGGGGGCAATTCCCCAGCCCTGGCACCCCTTGAGCTGGTCAGGGACCAGCACTACCCCAGCTGGAGCAGGGGAGCAGCAACCCCAGCCCGGCTCGGCGTGGCGCTGCCGGAGCTCACACCTCCACTGAGGGATATTTCCCTTTCCCTCCTTTTAAGGGAAATGACAGAAAATCCCAGGACAGCCATCAGCCTCCGAGGTAACCTCGTCCCGCCTCGGCCGCGTTCCCACAGGATTCAGCGGCTCCTGTTACCTGGGGCAACGGCGGGGAAATGACGGCTGGCATCTAAATTGCCATCATTATGCTCCAGAGCCAACACTCCCCATTTACACTTTATTGTCATTTTTTGCTTTAGGGAGATGGTGAGATATTACAGGATGGGGTGACAGAGCGGGATGAGATGGGATGCACGAGGAGAGAGGCGCGGAGATAAATGGGGACCCCCGGAGCTGTTATTTCAGCCTGATTGCGGATCCGGAAGCAGAGCCGAGCCCGATCCCGCAGGCTGTGGGGAGGCTTTAGCACACAGAAGAAAATAAAATTTGTTTAAATGCAAGCGCCAGCCTGGCGGGGCCTGGGCACGTGGTAGCAGGGAGAGGATTCCCACCAAAGCGGTGCCGAAAACGGCTGCAG